AGCCAAATAGAGAATGAAGAGAAGAAAGAGGGTGGAGTCTGGAGTCACCAGCCAGATGCAGAGGGAGTAGGAGATGAACCTGCTATGCTAATAACGGTACCACCATGTGGCAGAGCACAAATAAAAAGTACGGGTTAACTTAAAAATGTAAGAGCTAGTTAGTAATAAGCCTGAGGTATTGACTGAACATTTATAAGTAATACTAAGCCTCTGAGTGGTGATTTTGAAACTGGCAGGTGGGAGAGAAATGTCTGACTACAATATGGTTTTTGATGAACAGCAACTCTTGGGAAAAAAATTCTCTTTTCTACAGAAGGGGCCATTTGGAGTGTGTTGCCTCAAGGACTATGTATGGTTTTGGGCTAGAGGATAGACCTATGTTTGTTGGCTCCTATGCTAATCTTCCCCTCGTAATTTGTGTGATTGTATTAATTCCTATAGATATGGCTGACATCCCTAGTCTTGGAATGCATGCTATTATCATTCGTGCTCATAAACCCCATGAAGGCCATGTTTATTAATTCAACATTTTTTTTTTTTACTGTTCTAGGTGTGAAGAGGCCTTGAACAAGAACCATCCAGGTCTGTAGGGAAAGGATATGTTATGCAAATAGTTACTTCCCCACATCCAGAGATTTCAAGAATGGGAGTCCTGAGAAAGTGCATGGCCCTAAGAATGTAACAGGTTATTCTTGATTGTCAACTTGAGTATACCCGGAGTTGACTAAACCTTCTAAATGAATGGACATATCTGTGAAGGATTTTTGCTTAATTAAATTATTTGACGTGGAAAGATCTTCTAATCTGGATCTTTGAGGTGGAAAGACATGTCTTTAACCAAGATCTTTTGAGGTGAGAAGATCTACCTCTAATCTAGGCCATGTCTTCTGCTGGGAGCCTATGTAAAGGACATGGAAAAGGGAAGCCTCTCTCTTTGCCTGCTTGTTCTCAATCTCACTAGCAAGTCCACCTATCCACTGGCATTAAAGCTTCTTTGGAATTTCAGTGTATACTGAAGACCAGCTGAAACATCCAGCATTGTGGATTGAACAACTAATGGATTCTTGGACCTTCTGTTGGTAGACAGCCATCATTGGACTAGCTGGACAACTTGTAAGTCATTCTAATAATCCCTGTGCGTGCGTGCATGTTGCGTGTGTGTGTGTGTGTGTGTGTGTGTGTGTGTGTGTGTGTGTGGGTGTGTGTGTGTGTGTGTGTGTATGTGTGTGTGTTCATTCCTATTCTATAAGTCCTAATCCACTAGAGAACCCTGACTAATACGGGGGTGGGAGGGCAATCAGGAAAGACCTCCTGAGGTGTTTACATTTATTTTGGGACTTAAAATGTGGGCAGATTAAAATATGGGCAGATTTTGGATAAGGAGAAAGAGTGTTAGAAGATGAAGGAAGAATGAAAATGGAGGCTTTGTGCTTGGTTATAAAAAAGGAGAAGGCCAGTGTTGGGGACTGAGAGGGGCATCAGGTGATGCCAGCTGTGGTGGGGGAAAGTAGGGGTCAAATATTGCAGAGTCTTTAGGCCAAGCTGAGAATTAAAAAAAAAAAATTACTAATTCTTTGAGGGTTCTTTAAGAATCACATTAACTCCCCTCTCCCAGAGTCACCTCTACCCCTACACCTGCTTGTAGGGAGAGATCTTACTAGGTACCTGTGGCGCTGACCACGCCCATTTGGGAGTGGCCACAGGTGCCTACTGTGGGATATAGGCCTGAGGAAAGACAGGTATGCTGGGTGTGTGTGTGGGGGGGTGGTTGGTCGGATCTTGGAGGACAGTTGAGATTGGATACTTGGAGCTCTGGGTTATACGTTTCTCATGTAAGTGATTTCTCTCCAGTAAAATTAACCTGCCTCACTCCTGTCCCATGTATAGTAATCTTCTTCTAACACCTGCTCCCAATTTCATGTTGTTGTTTTTTTTTTAAATTTTTTTGTAACCCACCGAGAGTTCAATTTGTGTTGCCAGTATGGTTTTTCATAGTACTGTTTCTTTATTAGAGAGATTTTTAGAGCATTTATACATGGTATAAATCAGAAATAAAGATACAATATTAAAATATCTCCTGGCTATTCACTGGAACATGAGCAACAGTTCAGGGACCACACCCTTAAAGGTAATAGAGTCTTCCTCTTCTAGAAGCCATCCGCTATCAATCAGCAGAGGATTTTAAATCTTAGCCTAAAAGTGAGGATACACTTCCAGAATGCTATAAACATACAGGTCTTATGATCCTACTCTTACTAGTTTTTTTGAGACAGGGTCTCACTATGTAGACCAGGCTGGCCTCAAACTCACAGAGATCCACCAGTCTCTGGCTCTTGTGTGCTGGGATTAAAGGCATGCATAACTGCACACAGCTGTCTCAGAGGTTTAGAGTGTTTGCTCCTGCAGATAACCTGGATTTGAGTCCCAGCACCCATGTGGTGGCTCACAATCAGATCTAACTTGTAATTCCTGAAACCTTGATCTCCATTGGAACCAGGCAAGAATTCGGTGCACATACACACAGGTAGGCAAAACACCCATACACATACAATAAATCTTAAAAACTTTTTAAAAATTTAAAAGAAGAAAAACCAATTAGATACAAAGTATTTATGACTTTATTCTGAGATTCCAAGGGCTTGTATTTAAGGCCCCAAGCATGCAAGGCAATCAACCATTGAGCTGCATCCCAAGACTTTGACAAAGGATTTAAACAGACATTTTTTTTCCTCAGAGAAGATAAATGAATGGCCAACAAGTACATGAAAAAATGCTCAGCACCATTAGTCTTTGGGGAAATGCAAATCAAACCACAAGGAGATGTCACTTTGCACCTACGAGGATGCTATAGTAATAATAGATGAATAATATCACTGTCAGAAAGGACACAGAGGAATCAGAAGCCTCACACTGTGATGGTGGGAATGCAAAGGCTGTGTGTGCACTTAGGAAAACAATTTGGTAGTTTCTCAAAATGTTAAACTCAAGGTTCTGATAAGAGTTTACAGTTCCTTTCCTTGGCATTTTCATTTGAAACACATCACAATGTAAAGACTAATACACAAACATTCCTAGGAGCATTATTCACAATAACCAAGAAGCGAAACAAATACCTACCAGCTGGCAAACAGGATGACAAAATGTGGCATATCCACACAAGGAGATGCTTGGCAAGAACAAGAAATTGAGTGCTGACAAACCACAGTCAACATTTGGAAAAATTTAAAGAAATCAGAGTGTATGTTTTATTCTCCACACATGAGATGTCCAGAATAAGCAAGATCTTACTTAGACATAAAATAATGATTGTCTAATGCTAGGATGGAAGGATAAATGAGGAGTGATTGCTCACAGCTTCAGGCTTTCAGCTTTGGTGTAATAAAAAATGTTCTGAAATGGACTATAACAATTATAGTTCTATAAATATATTAAAAACCATTGCCCCCACCCATTCTGAGGAGGCCACTCTTAACAAAGGAAAGCATTTAACTAGGGGCTTGCTTACAGTGTCAGAGGGTTAGTCCATGATCATCACAGCACAGAGCACGGCAGCACCCCTGCAGGCACAGCATTGGAGAAATAGCTGAGAGCTACATTCTGATCAGTAGGAAGCAGGAAGAGAGAAACGTGGGGCCTGGCATAGGTTCTTTAAACCTTAAAGCCTCCTCCCAGTGACACATCTCTTCCCACAAGGCCTCACCTTCTAATCCTTCCCTAAATAGTCCACCAACTAGGAACTAGACATTCAAATACATGAGTCTTTGGGAGTCAGTTCTCATCCAAACCACCAGAGCAGCAATAGAAAGAAAACCAGGATGCAGCTCCAGTTAAAATCCACCCCTACGTACCATGATGCACAGCTGTAATTATAGCACTCAGGAGGGTGAGGCAGGAGGATGACAGTTTCAGGCCAGCCTGGATGGAATACAGAATGAGATTTTGCTTTTAAAAATAAAATGACTAGCCAGGCAGTGGTGGTGCATGCCTTTAATTCCAGCACTCGGGAGGCAGAGGCAGGCGGATCTCTGTGAGTTCAAGGCCAGCCTGGTGTACAGAGCGAGTGCCAGGATAGGCTCCAAAGCTGCACAGAGAAACCCTGTCTTGAAAAACCAAAAAAAGTAAATAAATAAAATGACTAAAAAATTAAAACAGTGAATCTTCAGACTTCAAAAAACTGTTTTTAACTTGATTTTTCTTTAACGATCTCACACATGTATAACATGCATCCCGATTAATGTAACCCCCCCACTCCTATTAACCACCCTACTTATGCACTTTCAAACATGTTTTTTTTTTAAATTTTATTTTTTTCTTTTTGTTTTTCAAGACTCACTGAGTTTAGGTAGGGTCATCTATGTGGCAATGGGTTTTCAACTACCCATGGAGCCTGGTGGGTACTCAGACGGTACTGAGTTGAAGAAAATGAGCATTTCTCTCCTAGAATACATTAGAAGCCAATACTTCAGCGTGGAGAGGTAGAGTATGGATCCCTCCCCTATGACAATCAAAATTCCGAGTGCTGTGTAGGTCTTTGCAAGCAGTTGCAACTGCTCTGGGGGTCGAGGCTGCATTGACTCTGCCATACCAAGAAAATTAGTGTGTGTACATGCATACACACACATATACATATATACATTTTTCTTTTTTGAGAAGAGGTCTCTCTTTGCAGCCCTGGCTGGCCTCAAGCAAAGGTCTACCCGCCTCTGTCTCTTGAGTTATGGGATTAAAGTTGTCCGTCACCAATTGTGCACTTTTTAAACCGATGAACTTTATGACCCATACATTTCATCTCAATAAAGTTGAAATTCAACTTGGTTGGGGCACTAGTTTCCCTAAGTACGCGGGTAAGTTTTCTTAGAGCCAGAGGTTTCCGAGTTTAATGGAGAAAAGCACCCTCTGCCTGGGACAGCGAGGCCACACCCCCTCCCTTGTTTCCTAGCAACCCGCTTCCTACTGAACGCTCCAGCAAGCCTCCCTCCGTCACTTCCGTTCCCAACAGGAAGTGGTGTCAACCCGGCGGCTTTCCCGGGAGTTCAGCGTTCGCTGCAGGTGAAGTAGTTTTCCTGGACCGGTGCTGGCTCCGGTCCCGACCAGTGCTAGTGCAAAGGCCCGGGGATCTGGGAACTCGAACTCGTGCGGGCCCAGGGCGACAGGAGAGGAGCTGGAGGTGACGCTGCTGGGTGTCCGGAGTCCCGAGGGTGCTTGCTCTCCCAGTTGCTCACCCCCAGCTCTGGTTCTTGGACGTTTGTTTCTGCGCTCCTCCCACAACTCCCCAGGTCCTGCGTTTGAAGGAAGACCCCTCACAGAAAACATTCTCCTCGCCGGCTACCGTTCACGCCCAGCGACTTTTGAGTTGGCCACAGGCCTGGGGTAAATGTTTCCCTGAGTGCTAAGCTGGGGGTAGGGAGACAGTTCCTGAAAAATGGGATTAGGCAATTTGGGGCATTTGCATTTTGGCTTACTTTTTTAAAATTTATTTTTTTTCTTTATGTCTCTGGCGGGGTTTCTTGTTTCAAATCAGAGGAGTTTGCCTTGGTTTAGGTGGTGGGAGGCCACACTGCGATGAGGCCGGAGGGGCCCAGGTGCTGCTAATTTTGTAGATCTTAGTCTGACCCTCTCAGGAATTAAATGGCCCATTTGTATCAGGTGATTCTTACTTTTATGCGTTTAATGTGTTTTTTACCTGCAAGAAAGCTGTAGTTTTCTTACACAAGGACTGAGTCATACAGTACTTTTGGGACTTTAACAGAACCAAACATAGTGCTGAACACAGTAAAGGTGCCATCATATTTTAAAATCTGAATATCAGTGATACAGTTTTAACATCTTTATCTTAATGTTGAAGGGATCACCCTGGGCATTGTGGAATACCAGCACTTGGGAGGTGGAGGCAAGAGGAGCTAAAGTTCAGAGTCACTTTTGGCTGTGTAGGGGGTTCCATGCCTGGCCTGTGCTATGCAAGACTCTATCGCAAAACAAATAAAATAAAATAAAATAAAATAGAAGGCATCTATTTAAACACAGCTTAGGCTGGGTGGTGGCGTTGAATTTCTTTAATCCCAGCACTTGGGAGGCAGAGGCAGCCCGACCTCTTGTGAGTTTGAGATCAACCTGATCTACAGAGTGAGTTCCAAAATAGCCAGGGCTACACAGTGAAACCCTGTCTCAAAAGACCAAACCAAACAAACAAAAACCTAGGGCAAAACAAACAAAAACCTAGTTCAGCTTCTAGAAAGGATGTCAAAAAATAGCATCCCCTTTTAAGGATAAAAATAGTAAAATCTATTTGGATACATTTTCCTAGATTTTCGACTGCTCTGGGATGCTCTATCATAAACTCATTAGAAAATGGTGCACCCGTCTTTTAGGAAAAGGCCAAATAATGTCAAGTCCATTGCTTCATTGTTTCCTCCCATTTTAATATTCATTCTGTCTCTCCCTTTTCAATCCATTTTAAATAGGTTTTTCGTCTTAACTTGCTGACCCAGAGGTGCTGGTCATTATGGGAAATCAACTTGCTGGCATTGCTCCTTCCCAGATTCTCTCTGTAGAGAGTTATTTCTCAGATATCCATGACTTCGAATATGATAAGAGCTTGGGAAGTACTCGGTTTTTTAAAGTTGCTCGAGCAAAGCACCGGGAAGGCCTGGTAGTTGTGAAGGTCTTTGCAATACAAGATCCCACGTTGCCGTTAACTAGTTACAAACAAGAGCTGGAGGAACTGAAAATCAGGCTTCATTCCGCACAGAACTGCTTACCTTTCCAGAAAGCAGCAGAGAAAGCGTCCGAGAAAGCAGCCATGCTGTTTAGGCAGTATGTGAGAGACAACCTCTACGATCGCATCAGTACCCGTCCATTCTTAAACAACATAGAGAAGCGCTGGATCGCGTTCCAGATCCTGACGGCTGTGGACCAGGCACACAAATCTGGAGTCCGACATGGCGACATCAAGACAGAGAATGTGATGGTCACCAGTTGGAACTGGGTTCTTCTCACTGATTTTGCCAGCTTTAAGCCCACTTATCTTCCAGAGGACAATCCAGCGGATTTCAACTATTTCTTTGATACATCACGCAGGAGGACTTGCTATATTGCTCCTGAACGTTTCGTTGACGGTGGTATGTTTGCCACCGAGCTAGAATATATGAGAGATCCCTCAACTCCCCTTGTAGACCTAAATAGCAATCAGCGAACACGGGGAGAATTGAAGAGAGCCATGGACATCTTTTCAGCAGGTATCTGAGTCGGTCAGATTAGCTAATTTACAAATTTAACTGTCAGACTTGGAAATGTAGCTTTTGTAGTTGCCAGATTTCCAAACATTTCTTAGTAAGCCTTCATGTCCTGTTTTCAGATAGATGCACGATTCTCTCACTGGACATGCTTAAGTGATGAGAAAATGCAAAGTGCTTTTCATTCATTTAAACATTCAAAACAGGATTTACAGTGCTGGTGATATGGAAGGGTGCTCATATGTGTTTTAAGGTAGAGAAAAAGTACTTCTTACCCTGTGTTTCTTCTGGTGGTGATAAGCATAAGATGCTCTTACACTCCCACTTACATAGTTAAGTAAGTGGGAGTGTAGGTATGAGGTAGTGTCAAAGAGTAGAGTGATGGTATTCAAACTGAGGCCTCCCGAGTGACTGGGCATTAGCTTTGATAGTTTGTTTCAGGCAGTGTGTGATGCTCCTACAGGGCATCTATTTAATATTGGCATTTATAACTGTGCATTTACTCAAAGTACTAGTTGAGTCCCTCAGAGGTTTTTTGTTTTGTTTTGTCTGTGTATATTCACGTGTGCAGATGTCTGTGTGGGTGCTTGCACACATGCTCTTGCGTTTATGAGCAAAGGAGTGTATGTATGCATGCATGCATAGGCACAGTGGACAGTATCTGAGGAACCACATCTGCTGTTGTCTCTAGCCTCTGAACTCTGGAAGTTCCCTGCCAACTCTTAATCATTTTTTGAGGCAGGGTCTCTCACTGGGCAGGGAGCCTAGCATGTAGGGTTTTCTGGTCAGTGAACCCCAGAGATCTTTTCTGTCTGTGTCTTCAGCTCTAGAATTACAAGCATGTACCACCCTGCCCAGCTTTTTTATTCATATTCTGGTGTTTAATTAAGGCCCTAACACTTTCGAAGCAAGTAGTTTTCTGACTGAGTTATTCCCTAGGTCCATATGAGTGGTATGTTTTGTTTGTTGTTTGTTTTGTTTTTGAGACAGCATTTCTCTATGTAGCCCTGACTGCCCTGAAACTCACTCTATAGACAGACCAGGCTGTCCTTGAACTCAGAGATCTGCCTGCCCATGCCTCCTGAGTGATAAGATTAAAGGGATTAAAGGTGTGTGTCATCACTACCCGCTTTTTTCTCCCCAGGTTTTTTTTTTTTTATTTGAATTAGAAACAAGATTATTTTACATGACAGTCCCAGTTCCCTTCTCCCTCCTGTCCTTCCCTACCACGCTCCCCAACTAAACCCTACCTATCACATATCCTTTCTTCTATTCTTCCCCTGACTCAACCTTTCTGCTCCCTCGTGACCTCTGCATCCTTCCTCTTCTTCCCTTCTCATTCTTGTAGCTCCCTCCCCACTCTTCCCATGCTCTCAATTTGCTCAGGGGATCCTGACCCTTTCCCCTTCTCCAGGGGACCATGTATGTCTCTCTTAGGGTCCTCCTTGTTTATTAGCTTCTCTGGCAGTGTGGATTGTAGGCTGCTAATCCTTTACTCTGTGTCTAAAATCCACATATGAGTGAGTACATATCATGTTTGTCTTTTTGTGATTGGGTTACCTCGCTCAGAATGGTTATCTTCTAGTTCCATCCATTTGCCTGCAAATTTCACGATTCCATTGTTTCTTCTTCTTCTTCTTCTTCTTCTTCTTCTTCTGTTGAGTAGTACTCCACTGTGTAAATGTACCACATTTTCTCTATCCATTCTTCAGTTGAGCGGCATCTGGGCTGCTTCCAGTTTCTGGCTATTACAAATAGTGCTGCTATGAACATCGTTGAACAGATGTCCTTGTTGTATGAATGTGCTTCTTTTGGGTATATGCCTAGGAGTGGAATTGCTGGATCTTGTGGTAGACTGATTCCCATTTTCTTGAGGAGTCGCCATACTGATTTCCAAAGTGGCTGTACAAGTTGGCACTCCCACCAATGGTGGAGAAGTGTTCCCCTTTCTCCACATCCTCTCCAGCATAAACTGTCATTGGTGTTTTTGATTTTGGCCATTCTGACAGGAATAAGATGGTATCCCAGAGTTGTTTTGAGTTGCATTTCTCTGATGGCCAAGGATTTTGAGCACTTTCTGATGTGTCTTTCAGCCATTTTAGATTCTGCTATTGAGAATTATCTATTTAGTTCTGCACCCCACTTTTTAATTTCATTGTTTGGTGTTTTGGAGACTAGCTTCTTGAGTTCATTGTATATTTTGGAGATCAGCCCTCTGTCAGATGTAGGATTGGTGCATATCTTTTCCCATTCTGTGGGCTGCCATTTTGTCTTGCTGACTGTGTCCTTTGCCGTACAGAAGCTTCTCAGTTTCAGGAGGTCCCATTTATTAGTTGTTGATCTCATTGTCTGGTACTACCCGCCTTTTTTAAAAAGAAGTTTTATAACTCTTTGACACTTACCAGTCCACATCTTAATTGAGTGTAGATTTTTGAAGCAGGTAACAGGATCACAGATTCCCACAGTAAAGACTCCTTCTCATTATGTTTTCTGGACAAATGTTCATAACTCTGATAGGGAACATTTCTTATTCCTTTGGCCTGACGGTTTTGCTGCCATCAGTGCACACCTCTGGAATTGTCATGTTCTTCATGGCATAGCTCTTGATTTCTCTGAGTGCGTGAGGGGCACACTTCGTGAACCCCCATTCCACAGATGCACTTTTTGCATCTTGACAGTAGACTCTGGGGTCACCACCTCGCTGATGGCAGAGTGGTCTTTTTCTTGCCACCCTTGTTTGCAGGAACCATTCTGTCATGTCTAAGTTAGAAGGGTCTCAGTAAGGTTTTTTGTTTTTAATCCCAAAGAATTTTGTAATTTCCTTTTGATTTTCCTCTCGACACTGGGAATGGAATGTAGGCCCTTGCTTCCCATAGTCAAGCACAGAATCACTGAGCTACAACTACAGCCCTTTTCATTTTATTTTAGACGGGATCTTGCTCAGCTGTCCAGGCTGGTCTTTAACTTTGCTTCTTCTGTGTCAGCCTTCCAAGTATCTGGGACTACAGGCGTGGCCTTCCCTGTGTAGCTGGGATTACATTACAGGTGTGGCCTTCCATGTATCTGGGATCACATGTGTGGCCTTCCATGTATCTGGGATCACAGGCGTGGCCTTCCATGTAGCTGGGATCACAGAAATGCACTTCCACTCTCACCTTTCCCAAGTTCCCTCGATCCATTGATTATTTAAGAATTGTTTTACCTACTTTTGTGTTGCTGAGATAACACCTCAACCAAGTCAGTTTTAAAGACAGTGTTTAATTTGGCTTTCGGTTTCTTTTTGGCTTTTTGGTTTCTTTTCTTGTGAAGCTTCCTGGATTCAAAGATGGTTCCCTAATGATTTAATTCTGAATACTTCCCTGAGGCCTCGCCTCTGACACCATTGCTGTGGTGGTCAATGCCTTTAATCACAGCACTCAGGAGGCAGAGGCAGGTGGATCTCTGTGAGTTTGCGACCAGCCTGGTCTACAAGAGCTAGTTCCAGGACAGCCTCCAAAACTCCACAGACAAACCCTGTCTTGAACCCCCCCCAAAAAAAAAAAAAAAACCCCAAAAAACAAAAAACCAAAAAAGGTTTCTCCATTAATACGTCACAGTGGGGATTCTATTTCAACACAGGAAGCCTTAGAGTACACTGAAGCTGTGTCTGAACCATGGTGTTGAGGGCCATTTTGTGGTTTAGCTGAGGTCTTGTCTAGATAGTGTATATTCTGTAGGCGCCTGAGAATTTCTATCTGCTGTCATGGGTAGGATGTCCTTTTGATGTTTGTTAGATCCACTTGGTTTACAGTGTTGCTCAGATCTTCTATTTCCTGGTCACATATGATGGATGAAATATTTTTAAATTATATTATATGTATGTATGTATTTATTTAGACAGTGCAAGAGAACCTGCAAGGGAGTGTGCAAACAAGCACATACCTGGGTGCCTGTTTGGAGGTCAGAGGGTAGCTTGTGGGAATGGGTCTGTCCTTTCACCATGTGGGATTTAGAGATTGAATTTAGGTCATCAGACTTGATGGTAGGAGACTTTACCCACTGAGCCATCTTACAGTGATTTTTTGTTTTTGTTTTTTGTCTTAAAAATAGCTGTTGTTGGAAGTCCTTTATTCTGAAATTGGCATTGTATAAATAGGAAATAACAAATTTACTTAATGTTTATTATGTATCAAAATTATGTTAGTTGACAGGAATTTTCCAGTGAACAATTTGGGGAACAAATACTATGGAGTTTGCATTCTAGTAGGCACAGAGATAAACAAGCAACCAGTGGGTACTGTGTGGTGTGAAAAAAAATACTTGTGAAAAAAAAAAAAAGAATATGGAGGAACTGTAGAGACTTTTGCAATCTGTCTCTTTTTTATTTTTCTTGAGACAGGGTCACTATGTAGCTCTGTAGACCAGGCTGTCCTTAAGTGTACAGTGATCCACCTGCCTCTGCCTTCCAAGTGCTGGGACTAAGGGCTTGCACCACCACATCCAGTGGCTCATGAAATCTTACACAGATAACTAAGACAAGCTGGCTTAACGAGGATCTGAAGGAGATGGAGGTCTCACTAAGGTCCATAGTTCCTAGGGCAGTTATCCTTGGCAGAGGGCCCAGCAGGCACAAGGCCGTAAGGTAGTTTTTTAAGTGTCTATAAGACTTGGTAAATGCATATCATAGAGTGATTCAATAAAATTGCTGTGTACAAAAACCAAAATTGCTGTGTGCTTTTGAGAATGTAGGCACTTAAAAAATTATTGACTGAAGATCAATATATTAGTGCAAAATGATTGGATTATTTCCACTTCTAGTTTGTTCCCACATTTTTTAAGCACTTGGTATATGTTTGTAATATTTAGCACTACAATTGAAATTTGTTCATTGGTTATATTCTGCCTTCCTTTCTAGGAGGGGAGCTTGGTGAATGTGGGATTTTACCACCCTGTTCAAGTAGTACCTATCGTAGGTAGCACCTCCTCCTTGTTGAGTGTTGGACATACAGCTAGAAATTGCTTAGCAGTTCTCAAGAACTTAATGGTGTACTTTTGTACTAATGGGTTCTTGCGACTTTTAAATTCCTTATCTGTACATGTTTTTCAAAGGAGAAAACGTGTCATTTATGCTTCTACCCTGGCCTTCAAGCAATTAGACATGGCCTGTATATTTCATTAAACATTTAAATTCAGTTGGTTTTGCATTTTGAGTGTTCTGCCTTTTCTGAATTCTGATCTGTATTATATGATCTCTTCCTCTCATCCTAATGGGATTGTGTTTGATTTTCCAGGTTGTGTGATAGCTGAGCTTTTCACGGAAGGGGTCCCACTGTTTGATCTCTCTCAACTCTTGGCCTATAGAAATGGACATTTTTTCCCTGAACAAGTGCTAAATAAAATTGAAGACCGCAGTATCAGAGAATTGGTAACTATGTTACAAATATTTGCCTCACAGTTTTAATGGGAATATATCCTAGTTGACCTGGAACTCACTGTGTTAGCTCACCCAGGGCAGACCTCCTGCCTAAGCCTCCAGAGTGCCAGGATGACAGGCATGAGCACCATACCCAGTCCTTCATCCACAACAAATTTAGAATGAAACCCAGTACTGGTAAACATACTTTTGATACCTTATTGGAAAGAAATGTATTGCTTTTTTTCCCCTCTTAGGCAAAAAGCACATTTGACATTTGAGAAAGAAATGAAGCTGGGCATAGATGGCGCACGCTTTTAGTTTCAGCACTCTTGGGAGGCAGAGGCAGGAGGATCTCTGTGAGTTTGAGACCAGGTCTACAAGAGCTAGTTCCAGGACAGCCTCCAAAGCCACAGAGAAACCCTGTTTCAGAAAAACAAACAAACAAAAAAACCCAAAACAAAACAAAAAAGAAAAAAAATGAAAAGAAAAAAAGACTTAAAAATGAATACATTATTAGTTTTTTCATGATAATCTTGACTGTGCTCTGGGCAGATATGGCGGTAGGCGGGGCCATCCGAGATAGAGCTTGCTGGCGGGAAAGGAAGAAGACAAGATGTCTACAGTGCAGAGAGGGAGCCTGAGCAGAGCACAGTAGCCAGCCTCTTCCCTGGAGGCAGATGTGGGCCACCTGGAAGGGGAGCTGCTTATACAATCCCTTGGTTATGGCAGCACAGGGCTGGGGAATTGTGTGCGAGGCCACCTGGTCGGATGTTTGGATCACTGTTTGAGGGCGTCTTTTAAAGGTAAGTTTGTGAGAATGACTGTGGGTCCTGTAAAAGGCTGCGGAGTATTTAGAATACTCCACAGTATTCTTGGTGGGGAAATACCCGATCTGGTGGTGTAGGCCTGCAATCCAAGCTACTTAGGAGGCTCAGGGAAGGGAGCCTCACCTTCCAGGCCTGCTTGAGGGTTCAGTCTGTGTTCAAGGCCAGTTTAGTGAATTTAGCAAATCCCTATCTCAGAATAAACACAGTTTAGGGGGTGCTGGGCTGTATGTAGCTCAGGGGTCAGCACCGGCATGGAATGTGTTTGCTGGAGGAAGGCTGAAGCAGGGGGAGGGAGTGCAAGCCAGCCTGGACTGCATGATGAGACTTTCTCAAGAGCAAAGTAAAAAGGGCAAAACTGGAAGAAACAAGATGCTCTGGAGAAGCCAGTGCAGGCAGCTCATGATCAGAAGCACACTTGGTGCTCCCCCTTGGGGTTGGGGCTGACACTTGGTGCTCCCCCTTGGGGTTGACACTTGCCAGGTCATGTAGCTGAGCAGCTTCATGTCTTTGGACCTACATTTTCTTGGTTTGAAAGTCAATTTGTTTATTAATCTTCAACCATTAATGAAAATGTAAAATAATTCTTAGATCATTTTCCCACATGGTACACTTGATTCCCCTAAGTCAAGTACTAGTTTCTAGGTTAGAATCCAAAAAGAAAGCCAAAACTGCAGATGCATTTTTATGGTATTTTATGTAGTTGACTAGTGGAAACATTGAACTGTTCTTTTATATATTAAAAGAGTTTATGTACTTATATCAGGTATATTATTTCTAGTGTTCACATTTTCTCACATTTTTAAGCATTTTATTTCTTTTTAAGATTGTGTGTGTGTGTGTGTGTGTGTGTGTGTGTGTGTGTGTGTGTGTGTGTATGT